GATATGTTGCGCCGGCGTTTTTAAGTCCGAAGGGCATCGTGTTGAAGCAGAATGGTCCGTATGGAGTAATGAATGCCATTGCGGCTTGGTCTGCTTCCGCCATCTTGATTTGATGGTAGCCGGAGTATGCGTCCAGGAAGCACAATGAATCATGCCCTGCGGTAGCATCGATTATTTGGTCGATGCGGGGGAGGGGGAAGGGATCCTTTGGGCAGGCCTTGTTGAGGTCTTTAAAGTCGACACATAGGCACCAGGATTTGTCCTTCTTTGGTACCATTACCAGGTTTGCTAGCCAGTCCGGATGTTTAATATCTCTGATGAATCCGGCTTCCAATAGTTTGGCTAGTTCTTCTCCCATTGCTTGTCTTTTGGGTTCGGAAAATCGTCGAAGAGCCTGTTTGACTGGCTTGAATCCTTTTAGGATATTTAGGCTATGCTCTGCCAATCTGCGTGGGATTCCCGGCATATCTGAAGGGTGCCAGGCGAAAATGTCCCAATTTTCCCGAAGGAATTCACGCAGTGCGGCGTCTACATCAGGGTTCAACTGCGCCCCGATGGAGGCCGTCTTTGTCGGGTCCGTTGGATGGACCTGGAATTTTACTATTTCGTCCGCTGGTTTAAAGGAGGTGGACTTGGATCTCTTATCGAGTATCACATCGTCCCTATTCACCGTAGAGCGTAGCGAGGTGAGTTCTTCTGCCGCTAGGGCTTCAGATAGTGCCTCCAGGGCTAATGCGGCTGTCTTGTTTTCGGCGCGGAGTGCTGTGTCCGGATCACTAACGAGAGTGATTATTCCGCCGGGCCCAGGCATTTTGAGCTTCATGTACCCGTAATGGGGTACGACTTGAAAAATTGTGAATGCCTCTCGTCCTAATATAGCGTGATATCCGCTGCTGAACGGGGCCACTTGGAACGTGACTTCTTCGGACCTATAATTGTCCGGTGAGCCGAACACCACATCAAGTGTGATTTTTCCGGTGCAGCGCGCTTCCCGGCTAGGGATTATTCCTCTGAAGGTTGTGCTGCTTCGCTCAATGCGGCTCCAGTCTATTTCCATTTTTTGAATAGTTTCCTCGTAGATGAGGTTTAATCCGCTGCCGCCGTCCATGAGTACCTTGGTGAGTCGAAAGTCGTCCACTATTGGACTAAGAACCAATGCGGCTGGTGCTTGAGCTGTTCGGAATTTAGGTTCATCGCTGGCGCTGAAGGTGATGGCCGTGTCGCTCCAAGGATTTGTTGTTGCTACTTGGTAGACTTTGGCGAGGCTGCGGATTGTTCGTTTCCGCATGTTATTTGGTGTGAAAGTCTCGAAGACTGTTGATACCGTACCGGTATTGTTGGAGTGGTATTCCGGGGCTAGAAGCTCCTCGCCACTTTTGGCCACCTGCCGTAATATCCAACATGCTCGAGGGCTATGTGTTGGGGTGGCGCCCTCTGTACTGTGAATTTTACAGGGTCCGCTAAGCCATCCCTCCAGTATGGTTCCGTGCCCTTTATGGGGTTTTTGCTTTTTGGTTTTTGTGCCTGGTGCCTGAGTGTAATGCACCCTTTTATTGCGGACTAGGGTTGTATTCGGGGCCTGATTGTCCCAAAACTTATTTTCGGTTTTCCGGAAACTCTCCGTCGCACAGTACTTTCATATTATGGATGCCAAGTCGGCGAAGCGTGTGATTTCACGACGGCTGACGGCGTTCAAGATTCCCTCGTCCGTGCAATTATTGCAAAAAGTTGAGATTGCGTCTTCCTCTCGGCAGTCCTTTATCCTGTCCATAACCAGGAGGAATCTGGCCCAGTAATGATGTACTGTTTCAGCAGGCTCTTGCCGGATTAGGGATAGATCGCATATGTCTGAGTGGGTGGGTGGAATTGAGTTCGGAACCCTACCCATCTCAAGGCTCAAGGGCCGAGAAGTTTCCGAATTCGGAAGCTTGGAAAGTGGAACGTTGTCCAACGAGTCCGGTCCGATGCATGACTTTAGGTTCAGTGCTTGATCGCAGTCCGCCCCTCCGCGGGAATCCGGCATGGAGGGTTCGGGAGCCCGGACATGACTAGTTTTCAATACAGGAGAAGAGTCGCCGCGTTGTTCCTCTACCACTACAACGTGGTGGGTAACCTGGGGAGAGTTAATCTCTCTCAGATCGGTTTTAAGCCCAATCTGATTGTAGTCTGTAGCGACTCCCAGGGCGGCGATGCGATCCAAGAGCTCGTTTACGGACGAGAGCTCTATTGGATCCAGCCGCTCGGCGAATTCCGAGCTGACGTGAAGATTGCTTTTGACGACCTGAGAGGTCATTGTCGAAGCGGTGGCCGGACAGGCGGTCATGAGAAAACCACCTAGCCGGATAGTTTGGCCGGCGGCCAAGGCTCCTTTGGCGAAGATACCATCCTTGAATACGGGAAGAGGCATCCTTCCTATCGGTGACGGCACAGAGGAACTCTCAATGAAAGCACCAATGTCGGTGTCAAAACCGACGGATCTCGGGTAGGGGGTCCCGAACTGTGCGTCTAGGCGGATGGTAACAGGAGACAAGGGACACGATGTTTTTACCCAGGTTCGGGCCCTCTCGATGGAGGTAAAACCCTACTCCTGCTTGATTGATATTGATGATATGGGTAGTACAAGAGTGGATCTACCACGAGATCAAGGAGGCTAAACCCTAGAAGCTAGCCTATGGTATGATTGTTGTAATGGTTGTTCGTCCTACGGACTAAAACCCTCCGGTTTATATAGACACCGGAGAGGGCTAGGGTTACACAGAGTCGGTTACAATGGTAGGAGATCTACATATCCGTATCGCCAAGCTTGCCTTCCACGCCAAGGAAAGTCCCATCCGGACACGGGACGAAGTCTTCAATCTTGTATCTTCATAGTCTTGGAGTCCGGCTGACGATGATAGTCCGGCTGTCCGGACACCCCCTAGTCCAGGACTCCCTCAGGAAGCCTCCTCTGCTGGGACGACTTTCTAATGAGGTAAATAGCCCTATGCACCTTGGGCTCCCACATCGAGCTCCCCAGTGGCGAATCGACGATTGGGCTTGCTACCGGATGGTGCTCCGGTAGCGTCTCAGTCTTACTGTACTAGACCCAGTAGGCGTTGCAGAGGATATCCCGCCCCATCGACCCTGACCTTCATTGCGGCATCTCCGCCGCCTTGTAGTGTAGGCACCTCCTCAACCTCTTAGGCCGCTTTTCGGTCATGCTTGGATTGACAAACAGGGCCACCCGCACACGCCGAGGCGGGAGAACCTTCTCCTCTCTTCTTCGGCACGGTGGGGCCCTAACCCACGTCCACACATTATGTTAACTATGGGGAACGGAGATGACATGTAGGCTCGCAGATTGATTGGATTGTGATGTTAGAGGTAGGCCAGATCGTGAGCCCAAATCGAGCACGAGAATTCTTTGCAGCTAAGAATGACTACATGGGAACATTATCTGAAATGCTTGCATCATGGATAAGGCAAGATACTTGTCGAGAGCTGAGATGGCCCTAGACACCTCAGATTTAATCTGATAAGCCATGCTTGCCTTCGAAAGGAAGATTCATTGAACCTGTTTGAAGACTGACGACCCAAGAAGAAGAATAGTTTAGATGGACAAAGTGTGTCTAGACTTGAAGACCGGTTCGGGGCCTACTGACAGTGCCCGGCTGGGGGGGGGGGGTTTCTCAACACGCTATATCCCGATCTGTTGGGCCGGGCCGAGGACCCCTATGTCGTTCCGCTAGTGGGCCATGACGAAAACGACCCATGGCGTATGAAGGGAAGGCTCCTGAAGACTTGTCGTGTACTCCAAGATGTTAGAAGTCGTCCACAACTCATCCTCTTTGTACATAGCTAGCTTAGATGTAACCCTAAACCCTCCGATACCTATATAAACCGAAAGGCAAGGCTCGCAAAGGACACAACGCGTCTGAGGTAGATCATATGTACTTTGTACTCCACTCAAAAGCAATAAAACACAAGTAGGACGCAGGTTTTATCTCTCCGGAGAGCCCGAACCTAGGTGAAAACTTGTGTCCTTGTTACCATCGTCTCAAGAACCTTAGTTCGGGGGCCCCTACGCGAGATCTGCCGGATTTGACTCCGTCACTACCCGCCCCCAGCAGCCACCCAGCGTCGAAGGATGCTCCTCGCTGCACCCCCCGCCGAGGGTTGGTGGTGGTGGGGCTGCTCCTCGCCACCAGTATCTCCTTCCCCGCGAGTCGCAAGCCCCACCGCCGACTGGTGGTGGCGGGGTTGCTCCTCGCCACCGATTTCTCCTCCCGGCGAGCCGCACTTCTTTCGACGATTGTTGGTGGTGGGTTGCTCCTCGCCACCGACTTCTCCTCACTATCGGTGAAGGGAGTGGATAAGGAAAGGAGAGGGGAAATAGGACCGTTCGTGCGTAATGAGTGGGTCGTTCCGCCGAGGATATTTCGGGCAGATTGTATGACGTGGCAACACTACCTGCATTATTCGTGTTTCAACGATAGCGAGGAGAAGCCGGTGTTGTAGCCGAAGCGTTACATCGGGAGACTATAAATTTGACGTTAGATTTATAGTGTTTTCGAAAATCAATGTAGATATCAACTACTGGGTTGCCAAACTTAAAGAAGATCTCACTCTGCTTGCCCAGAGGATCAAAGAAGGCTCGTAAACATTTCCTTTCGCCTTTGCTTCACTCCCTTGGAACTCCTAGTTTTCTGTTAGCTCTATCTTCTGGGTTTATTTTGCAACATATCCAAAGTGGTATGCCTTGCCTTGTACTGTAATAATGTACAGTGTGGACACGTTTCAATGCAGGTAAGCAAATGGCGGTGGATGTATGGTTGGTTGCGGCGTGCGTGTGCATGCGCGTCTGCAGTCGGGAAATATTCAGTCGTAGCGTGGCCGAGCCTCCGACTCTAGACACTACTAGGTTGTCCGGTCACAGAAGCTGGCAGTCACGCCCCCGGGCAGATCGTCTTCTGTCTGTCATCCTGTCATCTGCTGCCGCCGCACGGTCGCAGCCGCCGTCCATGGCGACGGCGGAGGAAGGCGAGAGAGGAGAGGTACAAGTACCGGCTTATCTTTCTTTACCTTTGGTGGGTCGGCGGGTCGATCTACATCTTTCACACGGTGACCTAAAGATAGTATTTTTTTAGCTGAGCAGCCACCAGGATTAGGGAGGGGGAGGTGTCCAAGATTCCGGCGATCTGAGGCGACCCGCGACATGGCCGGAGGCGGCGGCGCTGGGGGAAAGGAGGATGGCGGCACGGAGCCCCTACTCCTGTCCGTCCTCGCTCTCCCCGCAACGGCGCTCCCCGCCGTCGTCTCCCGCCTGGAGGCCGCCGTCCCGCGGAAGGCGCGCAGCTACCTCCCCCGCAACGTCCCGTCGGCCTGGTGGTCACTCAGGATCCCCTTCATCCAGCCGCTGCCGCCGGCTGGGGACCCGGCAAACGAAGAGGAGGGGAGAAGGTTCCCCCGCCCCCAGCGCGTGCAGGTGGCTCCGTCTCTCGATCCAGGCACGGCCGATAAGCCGCCCAAGAGATTGAAGAGGTGCCTGCACTGCAAGGCGGTGGAGACGCCGCAGCGGAGGTCAGGGCCGATGGGGCGGGGTACCCTCTGCAACGCCTGCGGAGTCTGGTACAGTAAGAACGGGACGCTGCCGGAGCACCTTCCGGTGGCAAGCCCAATCGTCGATTCGCCGCTGGAGAACCCGATCTGGGAGCCCGAGGTGCCTGGGGCCATCTACCTGGTCAGAAAGTCGGCCACGGAGAGGATGCCTCCCAGGACAGAAGCCGCACCAGCGCCACGGCCGGGGACGAGCTGCTTGCACTGCGGGTCGTCGGAGCCGCCTTTGTGGATAGAAGGGTCGATGAGGCGGAGGGAGGTCTGCACCGCCTGCGGCATGCGGTACAAGAAAGGGAGGTTGCTGCCGGAGTGCCGTCCAGCAGAGTGCTCAGTGACGGATTCCCGGCAGGAGAGCCCAGTCATCAACTCCCCGCCAGAGAGTCCCATCTGGGAACCTGAGGCGCCTCCGTCCGTGCACCTGCCAAGAAAGCCTTCAAAAAAGAAGAAGAGGAGGCGGTCGAGAAGCGAAGCCCCTTCGGCGCCATGGCCGGCAAATAAGGGGAAGAGGTGCCAGCACTGTGGGTCGTCAGAGACGCCGCAGTGGAGGGAGGGGCCAAAGGGGCGAGCCACGCTGTGCAACGCGTGCGGCGTGCGGTACAGGCAGGGGAGGCTACTGCCGGAGTACCGGCCCATGGCGAGCCCTACATTTGTGCCAACAAAGCATGCCAATTCCCACCGCAAGGTGCTCCAGTTGCATCGGACCAGGCAAAGCAACGACGAGCATCCATCACCGCTGCCTGCCGACAGCGTCACCAACCTGCCCCCAATCCGCGACGAGCTCCCGACCACCAGCACGGCAGGTCTTGCCAGTGAGGATCCGACCGACGCACCGGGCTACACCGACAACCCAATCAACGTGCCGAGCTCACTGGACTCGCTGCTGCTCGACGGGCCGTCGGCACCACTCATCGTAGAGAGTGAAGATTTTGCGATTAGCTAGCCTATGAAGAATAATTCAGCTGAGATGAGATACTGATCCTTTTTACTTCGTTTGTTCAGATACTGATGCTTGGAAATTTTAAACTTTCAATCACTGAAGGCCACTGCACAGGCCCTAGCAGTGATCAAACCAGTTCTGTGAATTCAACCATTTAGGTGGAGGATTTTCGAGTTCCGTTTCTGGTAATTTTTTTCCCTTTTTTCTTTTCATGACTCCAACGGAAAATTAGTGGGCATGAACCAGTTTATGGAATGTGCATTGAGAAGACAGATGTGCATAGTTTGGCAGAAGCATCAGATATTTGGCAAGATGGCTGCGTAGCTTGTTAACCTAGATTGCTCAAACCTCCCGTTTCTGGAGCTCCAGATTGGGCAAGATGATGCTTGTGCTTTCTGATGCTGCTTCCGGCCACACACACCAAAGGCACAAACATATCACCCGCCTTTTACATTCTGCATGCTTCCTAAGATTTGGAAGCTGCTGCTCTCCCTGAAGATTTTCTTTTGGCACAAATGCACATCCATAGGGGGGACATGAGAGTTGCAGTAGACTGAGAAATTCCTGTGACAATGTGTTGGCGCAATCCCCCAAGGTGGAGATGATCCTAATCTGGGTTAATCTGTCATTCCGAATCTGCATCAGCCAAAAATGTTTCTGGATTTGTTTGTTTTTCAAGTTTATCGTGGCCACAGGTGTGTGAAGGCATCGGGGGTTTGTTTG